CTTTTGTTGCTTACCAAGACGTATGAAACATAAGAGGCCATTTTTGTCTTTTTTGTTCAAATGGTAATTTTGTATTCTCATGTTAAGAGAGAGAGAGAAAGAGAGTGTGTGCTTGTGTGAGAGAGAGAGAGTGTGTGTGTGTGTGTGTGTGTGTGTGTGTGTGTGTGTGTCCCTTCTCCAAACAGGGACATTTTGACAGAGAGAGTGAATGAATGAGAGAGAGAGAGGGGGCAATTGCACAACACATCCTTTCTCTCACCAGCTCTTCATCCCCAGATAGACGAAATAGAAATGCATACATTTGTAAATGTTAGCTTTGAGCTCATAACATGATGACCACCACTAGTTTATTTCCCTTAGCTTCTCCACACGGGGAGCTGTCTCTAGACCTGTAAGGACTAGAGACAGGGCAAATCATGAGGGACATTACTGTGCGTGCATCAGAATGAGACTTTGTATGTATGTGTTTTTCAGTGTGCATGTTCATTTACTGTTCATAGAAATGAGTTAAGACTACAGGTACTCATTTTGAATACATGTGCTTTTTTTGTATGTGTATGAATGCACAATTGTGCCTAAGAACTTGGATAGGGTGCGTGGCCATTGAGACATTAACTCTTTTTTGAGAGCGAGTGCGATGTGTGTCAGTGCTCAGCACAGTGTATGTAAAGTATGTACGTTTATATCGTAAATATTTCTAGTTCAGTCTAGGGGTGATCCATCGGAAGGTTAGTCCAGTCTGTTTTCCTGGGGTGTGATCACGTTGCCTTTTGTCAGCTCTCGAACTTGTGAATGAAAGGTGTCGAGTTTCTGACTCTGAAAAAAAAAAAATACAGCATCTTAATGTGCAAGTGCACAGAACGGTGCATGAAATGTTAGCATATTGTGTTACCTATTCGTTGTTGCAATTTGATAATGACGAGTTTTCTTTTTTAATGAAAAATATATATGAATATATACATTATATACAAAGTTTAAAAAGTATTTGGACTAAGATAATGAGCACTTGGGGCTGCTATTTTTGTTGTGTGTTAATTTTTTTTTCCTTAATTTGTTTTTCATTTTTGTTTCATTATCGCCATGTGAAGTGTGTGTGTGTGTGTGTATTATTTCTTTCTTAAGAAAACATTGAATGTATTCCAAAAAAATGACAAAACCGTGCTGATACCAGATTTTTTTTTTTTTTTCTCAGAAGATTTCAAAAATGGAAACAAAATACAAAAATGCTTTGAAAGAGTTTAGCGAGGACTTTTTTTTTATTTACACAGTGGAGAAGAAAAAAAAAAACTTGGGATGGATACAGTTGAACACACTGCCTCTACAATCGTGGTCGTACAAATAGTGACTAAGAATTAAAAGAAAGGACTCTTTCTATTCCATACTGGAGCTTTGGTTGTTTACAAACCACATGGATATCTGTGGGTGCAGGTTTTTTGTTTTGAGTTTTGTTTTGGTTCCCACATGAGACGGGTGGGGTTTGCAAGTGCGCTTCTGCCATATGGACATTGAGTGGTGTTGGTTTGAGGAAGAGTTGCAGGCACCACAACAACATGGACAAGATCCTCCAACAGGAACTTTTGTGTGTGGTCGTGGATCCTGAGACTTGGCGATCAACCGTGGAGCAGAGGCGTGAAAATCAAGGACGGGCTCTGTTTTGTAGAGAACAGAGTGCAGGGGCTGCATAACCCTAGAGGGAACTGAGAGGGCGGTATGAGTACACCTGGTTCGTGCTCATGTCTTCACCTCAACCCTCATACGCACTCACACCCTGCCCTCACCAACTCACCTATGCACTTTTGTTCATTCAAGCTGTGAGGTACCATTTTGGGGATGGGAGCACAATTACAACAGGAGGATTGCTATGACTTTGACAAAGTCACCGAAAAGATATTCCCAAACTGAAATAAGAGACTCGAGAAGCTTGTCTTCTCCCACCTCCTGTATATAACCATATTTTTGTATTACCTTTCAGAGTAGAAAGAAAATTTGCAAATGGATGAAGGAAAATTCATGAGACATTGATGATGTGGATGAATGTTCTTCAAGAAAAAAAAAACAATCTTTTTGAATATAGTTTGACATAGACTCGCTGTGAGTTTCCCTTAGTTTGCCAGTAACCCCGAAGTAATCGGGGCCGGAAGGGGGAAAAAAAATCACATGGACATTGAGGTGTTGGACATACCACAGTGGCTCCAAGACTGACTGATAGTTACTTATCAAAATGGATGTTGCTGTCGCTAGAAAGAGCCCCACCAAGAGTGTTTGATCAACATGCAAATTAAAGAGGCAGACTTAGGTTTGAAGATCTGTTGGAACAGGATGCTTCCACTTCATCTCCCAACCAGATGACTACCTTCAGAGCTATAGTGACTGCATGAGGAAATATCCTTGGCATTGGTAAGATATATTTTCGCTTCATTTTTTCTTGGCTCTGAATGCTAATGATTTAATTTGATCTGGGTAATCTTGTGGTATTTTTGTTTCTTTCAGGGTTGTTTGGACCGTGAAGGGTGATGCTGGTCTCGTGCTCTTTCTTTCTGTCTTCTCACAGGAGCCCGGCTGTGTTTTATTTGCTGCCCTCTGCAAGGAGGATCTAATCCACAGCCAACCCATAAACCAGTTAACCCTAAACCTGTCCTTTTGAACTTAAACCCTAAGAAACTTTTCTGTCTTGACCTTGGACTGGGCAGGCCATTGGCATTATCAGTTGGACAGTTACCAGATGAAGTTAACAGGTGTCATCAACCATGGAGCCCATGGTGTTGGAGGTGATAGACTCATCAGGCGCTTTCCAGCGATGGAAAAGGATAAAGAAGCACGTATTGCCCAGATGTCATCACTCACCTCAGCCTGAAACTCTCAGGTGTTTGCGTGGAGGTCTTTTTTATTTTATTTTATTTTTTTACCAGCGGGACAGAAGCAGCTGGATTTACACCTAAACTACCAGAAGTCTCTGCAGCTGAGGAACTGGATGAACTGAACGAATTGTACAAAAAAGACTTTGAAACATGACAAAACACATAGCTACATGTCACATAGATTCTAGAGTCCAGAGGAGTTGCAGACACTACAGGCACACCTACAGACAACGCAACGCTCAGTTACACTGGCTCTCCTCTGGAACCACGTCTGCACACACAACGGCTACATCAATATCAAATAACACAGATACAGACACACACAAGCATCAACGCTCATCAGTATAAACCCTGAGCTTTGTAAATAATGTAAAACTTTGTGTTTTGAATTTTCTCATAGTGGTTTTTGCTTTATTTCTCTGTTCAACATGCCTTAAATTGTATAGTTCAGTCCTGAATGGCTAACTGAAAATGTTCTCTAAATGATGACTTTAAGTTGGGAACCACCTTGTTGACTGTCCTCTAAAGTCAAAGAAAGAACGCTTTCTACAAGACTATTTGTTTGCTAACAGTCTGTTGTGTACCTGATACACATACATCTGAATAACGTGAAAGTTAGCTACAGAATAGAGCAGTACACAGTCTTTGATTAATCTGATTTTGCTGGTGGTTGGCTTTTTTTGCCCTTTTGGTTTCTTTAAAATGAAGAGTGGATATGTTCTGATTTCCTGTTTAGATTATTGCTGAAGGTGCAGGCTTAATAAAGGGCTGAAGTCTGTACTGTCGGGAGCTGAGCTGACAGGGTGGGAAGCACCGAATTGGCTTAAAACACATACCTGTTGCTGTGTGGTAACTATTGTTGGATATATGCAAAACTGAACCAGGGCGACGGGTCCTCCTCAAATTGAGATAAAAGTCGGGGCTTTTTGGTTCATTTTTTTACACTCTAGGGGACTTGAATGTTTTGGAAGCTACAAGGTACTTTTTACAGTTTTGAGATGTCAAATCAGGCTTGTAATAGAAGCATGATTTGTAGTTCGTGGGTTTTGACACTTAATCTTGAGGTGGGTCGTAACTCGGCCCCTATTGCCTCTGCTTTATCTGTGCTGCTGACCATCTCTGATGGCACTGCATACTTGAGGAATCAACTGGTCAGTCGTGTGTTACGGGAAAGTAAATTTCATGTCCCGAAGATTTGGAAAGTGTCTTGTTCCATGTATGTATATCTAATTGGATTTGAGAGGTCAGTGCTTTTAGTCAACCAGTAGCTTTTTTGTATCATTAATAACTAAACAATATGCAGTTTTTAATCAAAATGGCAACTGATTTTCATTGAATACCGACAGCTTAGACTTGGAATACATGTGTACATTTCATTGAGCTAAGGTTTTAGTGAATTGTTACCTGCTATAGCTGTGTACACTGAAGCAGCCAAAGTAGGCTCCAGTACGTCATAACTGTTGAATTGATACTGAATTAATACTAAATGGTTACTCAGTTTAATGTTGTTGTAATCAGTTGCCAAAACAAAGAAATTGACTTTAACCACTTGAGTATACTACCAAGTCTGTTATTTGTAAATGAGTGTAAAAATACCTGTTTGACACTTTTAAAAGCTGATATTGTGTGGTATTGGGTCAGTCTGTCTTAGAAGAGTAAACAGGTTTGTTTTACTGCACTACATATGCTTTTATAATTAGATAAATTACAATATTGTGTTTTCAAAGAGCCCTGGATGTTTGGGTGCAGCCTTTGAAAAGATCCTGTCCCCTGATGGTATGAGGTTGATCATGTGGTTTATTTCAGCTCTGGAAAGTGTAGTTCCTACAATACTTGCCTCAAAGATATAATGAAAGTTATATCCCAGTCAGCTCAGCTCTTTTGCTTAATAAGTCTTTGAATGTTGTTAAAATAACAGCATACATGTAATGAAACTTTTGGAAAAGAACAATTGAGATGTGTAAATAGTTTGGATTTAGTTCGTTTTGAAGAACAAAATAAATATTAAATAAATAGCATTTAGCGTTGAGTTTTTATTTGTATTTTTTTCTCATCTATGAAGTGAGTGAACAGCATGCATAATATCAACACACTGCCATGAGTGTTAGCCACTGTCATCAGCATCAGCGCAACTCTCGCGATACTTCAAAACACATGGCCGCCACCAGTGTTTACAACTCGTAATGAATTGGTGAGTGGAAACTCAAAATCCCGACGTAGAAGGACGTCGAATAGTTTTGGATGATATTCGCACGCACCGGCTTTAGCTAAAAGTTTAACACCGTCGAAGAGGAGTATTTATAGCCAAACGAACAGAACCAAAGACCAGGCAAGTCTCAACACAGGTAGGTAGCGTTAGCTTTTAACTGCTAGCATAGGCTAATGCTAACGAGCTAACGTGAAGGTGGTTGCTGTTTCTGTTGTGGACTGGCGGTTAAAGGAAATTGAGGCACTTTGCCTTCTTTGACAGCACCATTCAAGGTATATAACAGCAGCTGCGCGTGCATGGATTAAAAGCGTGTATGGGTTTGTCATGTAACTTGTAGCTCCCGCTTGTTAATGTAACGAAATTACCATTAATGCTAGTTTGTAGTGATTGGCATGTCACAACTAGCCACAGGTGTCTGGGGTGTTTGCACATGCAGTTTGGCGTCAGTTCTTTATTCCTCTAAATAAAATACGTCACGTTTACGTCGTTTAATTACGAACGTGTTGAGTTTTTTGCAAAAAGTGCTCTTTTTTTGCATTGCTTTGTGCCACCTTCTTGCATTATTGATCTCTCGCCTGCCCTGTCTCATCTTTAGCCTGTCTCACTATTTTTTAGGCTAGTGGGTGCTGTGATGTCCTCGACCCCCAGCAGACTCAAACACCCACACTGCAGGAAGAAGCACTATCCAAGTAGCACTTACCTCACCCACGTCTGACAGCCAACCATCGCATACAAGGCACTTGAACTTGACAGGAGAGATTGATAAACAAAGAGAGATGTCTGACTCAGCTGGAAGTGGTGAAAGCGGAGGTGTGGCAGGCGCAGGGCAGGACGCAGAAGCGGATAATGAGCCCCCTCAACAAGTGTTACCTTCACCTGAAGGTGACCGCTTAGAGGGAAGGGAGTCCTCAGTGGAAGGGGCACCTACGTCTGCCAAGCGGGCCAGACTGAGCGAGGAGGAACAGGGGCTGGAGCAGGTTGCAAAGCCCGCCAAAATGCATGGAGAAACACCAGCACAGCCTGACTGGCTGCACGAAGACACAGCCCAACCAGCACAAAGTAGAGTATCTGCAGCTGCATGTATCAAATGAAATATAAGAGAGAAATAAATCTGATGGATGTCAGTCAGAGATTATGATTCAGGATTAGCTTGAAGATTAACGAGTTAACCTGAACAAATGTACTCTTTAATGCCAGGAACAGGAGAACCCCTACAATGTGAGGAGAAAGGTCAGGAAGGGGAGGACGTGCCTGTCAGTGCGGGAGGTGAGGACGAATGCCATGAGAATGGAGATGGAGGTTGTGAAGCACCCTTAGAAGGAGGAGAGACGAAACCAGAGGGGGAGCACAACGGTAATGGATCTGCAGACAGCGCCGGTGACGGACAGCAGTAAGTGGTCAGGTTTATTTTTAACCTCTGTTTCCACATAAGCAGGGGTAAAGATACAGTTGACACACCATCAAGTGAGCTATTTCAAGCAGGATTTTATGGCGGGTGGATGTGTTATGTAATGATTATGAAGCAGTGTTAAACACAGATGTTTCTGAAATAGGTAATTGCAAGATATTTGTACCACTTCCTGCTTGGTAGCTTCTGTTCACCAGGAGCACTACTCAGAGTTCCTACACACTATGGGAAAGTATGGAATTTGATATTATCTTTTTATTAAAAAAAAGAAAATTATAATTTGGAGCCGGTAGCCATTACTTTTGAAATGTTACAGTGGCGCTTTGGCTTCTTAATATTTTAACTGTTACACAGTTAATGTCACTAATGGAGGTCTTGCACAGTCAGATATACCTCCACCCTTCATTTTAGCATTGTGCCAGCGCTGGAGAAAGGTGTGACTGAGTCAGGTATAGGAGGAAAAATACTGGTGCCCTTGCAATAGTGTCGGTGGGGAACTTGTTTTGGTTGAACATTTGCATGTGGGGAGTAGGGCTGCAACTAAAGATTATTTTTATTATCGACTATTCTGTCGATTATTTTCCCAATTAATCGACTAATTGTTTAGTCTGTAAAATGTCAAGGAATTGTGAAAAATGCTCAAAACAATATTCCAGAGCACAAAGTGACGCCTTCAATTTTCTTCTTTTGTTCATCCAAAACCAAAGACTCTTCATTTACCATCATAAATGACAAAGAATAGCAGCAATTCCTCACATTTAAGAAGATGAAACAAGCAAATTTATCACATCTTTTCTTTAAAAAACTGACTGAAATGATGAATCAATTATCAAAATAGTTCTCGATTAATTTTCTTTCGATCAACTAATTGATTAATCGACTAATCGTTGCAGCTCTAGTGGGGAGGTGAAAATGGCAAAATACTCACAGGAGAAAAGGTAACCTGGTTAGGGTAACTTGCCACTTTCAGCGTGGTTACAAGTAGAGACCGGGACTTAGGAAATGGTAACAAGCAAATGGCGGAAGGGGAAAAGAGATCCATCTGAAATAGTGGGTCAGGCTTATACTGTACATACAGCCTACTAGGCTGTAGCTAGGCTGCTAATTATGTGATGTGCATGCAGTAGTACCAGTACAGTTAATGTTTTGAGTACCACAACAGTCCTTTTTTAATGTCTTATGTATCTGTATATACATGTGATATGTAAATAGGCCAGTTTTCCTTTTCCTTAAAAAGACAAATCTACTGGGAACAAGCCCTCTCAAGTTTTAAAACACCACACACAGGCCTCTTTGTGAAAAACAAAAAAGCATAATCATTGACTACAAATATATTATGACGCACTCACTACTCAAAAGCATATTATGCATATACGATTTTTGACGGGGGGCTTGTATCAGGCTGCTGGCCGCCCCTTGGTTGTGCCACTGCCAGAGCTCAATGTTGTCTAACGCAAGGCATGAAGTATGGCGTGCAACTGAACGATGCCAAAGTCTCTATAGGCAATTCCCGCCACTCGGCAGCCATCTTGGTAACGCCTCTGGGCTGTTATTTTGGACAAACAAGACCTGGCCCCTATCTAAATGAATGGGGAGAGAGTCATAACTGCACATTAAATGGTAACCGGGACATAAACACTGCACGTATGGAGTCACCAGTAAAATGTGATTTAAAAACTACTGAAAAAGTTTGATGACTTTGCCCCAAACTAAGCTATAAAAAATTTTCCCCACAGGTTATACTTCTTAAATATAACCTATTATGCGTATTTGGCACCATAATAACAAATAGTCAGAATGTGACACACATGTTAACAGTTGTATTTTAAAATAATTTATTTGCATAATAAACTTCTAGCTATTTGTACAGGTATTAAATATGGTTCCCGAAAATCTAAAATCTGAAATGGAATATATGTGTTAACCCTGACTACTGCTCTTCAGTGTATATATTCAAGTGGTAAAAGCAAACTTTAATTGTTGAACACAGTGACACCCGCGAAACGTCATAATTAGATATGACGTTTTCATATATAGCTGTTACTTTACTAGTAGTAGTATAATGGATAGCTCATGCACCATAATCAGTTTGAGCACTGATGCTTGGTGTAAATTAATTGCGCTGTGGAATGTTCAGGGTATATACATGTAAGTGTAGATATACATTGAACAAAATTATAAATGCAACACCTTTGTTTTCGCCCCCACTGATGATGACCTGAACACAAAGATCTCAAAGACTTTCTCTATGTGCGCAAAAGGCAAATATTGTTCACAAATCTGTCAAAGTCTGTGTTAGTGAGCACACAGCATCCATCCACCTCTCTGGTGTGGCATATCAATATGCTGATCAGACAGCATTGGTAATGCACAGTTGTGCCTTAGGCTGGCCACAATAAAAGGCCACACACAAAATATGCAGTTTCACTGTATTGGGAGGTCCAGAAACCATTGAGTATCTGGTGTGACCACCATTTGCATAGAGTTGATCAGGGTGTTGATTTGTGCCCTATGAAATGTTGGTCCACTCCTCTTCAATGGCTGTGCAAAGTTGCAGTCAGGTCGAGACCCCGATGAGGATGACGAGCATGCAGATGAGCTTTCCTGAGATGGTTCCTGACAGTTTGTGCAGAAATTCTTTGATTATGCAAACCAGCTGTCCGGGTGGCTGGTCTCTCACGATCTTGGAGGATTGGATGTACTTCCAAATTCTCTGAAACGCCTTTAGAGACGGCTTATGGTAGAGAAATTAACATTCAATTCACAGGCCACAGCTCTGGTGGACATTCATGCAGTCAGCATGCTAATTGCACGCTCCCTCAAAACTTGTGGCATCTGTGCCATTTTGCTGTGTGATGGAACTGCACATTTTTGAGTGGTACTTTTATTGTGGCCAGCCTAAGGCACACCTGTAATACCCGTGCTGTCTGATCAGCGTTTTGAAATGCCACACTCAGCAAAGGAGAAGTGCTCACTAACACAGATTTTGAGAGATTTGAGAACAATATTTGAGTGAAATAGGCCTTTTGTGTGCATAGAGACGGTTCAGCTCATGATGAATGGGGGCAAAAACAAAAGTGTTGCACTTATAATTTTGTTCAGTGTATATAAATAACTGTATATACTTTTTATACATTTAATATCAAGTTCTCAAGTTCTGTGTGTGTAGCATGAAAGGACTACAAACTTTCTTTTCTTAGACAACCTTGTGTTATACTCCCAATTTTGATGATAATTTAAAAAAATGTATAATAATTTGATGAGAATTGCAGCAATTTGAACATGTGTAATTGCCCGTGGATGTTGCTCTGCTTCCTCTTCGAATTGATAATGGGACTCATTTTGAAATGAGGCGGTAAAAAGCACCACAGCATTACCTGATTAAATATTTAACACTATCAATCATCATTATGGCAACACTTGGAGAATGTGACATAGGATGAAAAACAATGGAATTAACCTGTAGATGTGTGAAATGTCATTAACAACCCTCTCCACTGTGTAGTGACACTGTGTCTAAACGGAGCCGCTCAGTCATTGCCAGTGAAATGGTCAAATTCACCATAGATTTTCCTGTTGGGCTTTTGTGTAAGTTGACACCGTGGATTTTATACAGCAACAGGCTAGGCCTAACTTAATTCTCAAATTCTAAGCAGAACTACAAGGCAGCGTGGTTGTTGCATTCATTTGATGCCCTCAACATTAGTAAGATGGGAAATTCTGTCTTTCGGTTTGTTGTGTGATCTTCTCATGCCTGTCTCTTAAACATATTAACAGAAGACTTGTCCTTCTCTGTATTTTGCTTCCAGTCTAGGTCTAGATTTTACCCAGAGCCCCCAGATGCTGACTGGTTCGTGGACCGAGTACTCCAACCTTCCAGAGAACTATCTCAAAGGCTGCAAATGGTATTCTCTTCTAAAATGAACACAATGAACACATAAAACACAATGTGGATGAGGTTTTGAATGTGTACTGTGAAGTATTGACATCATTATGGAATTTGTGAGTTGTTAGCATGATCACTGTAAATGCAATACAATTAGAGGAAATTATATTCTTTTAGTGCAAATGAAGCAAGGAAAATGACTTCCACTAATGTCAGGCCATAGTGGGAACACTGCAGACAGTACATTTGGTATAAGTGAGGCTGCTAGTAACAAACCCTCTTAATCACGTGGGTCCGGTTGCACCAGCTGGATGTAAAAGTTGGTTGCAGGCCCTACGCCCAGCCTAGTGATAAATATTTACACCTGTTGCACTAGGTCTGACCGGCAACCGGCCCCTAATCAAGATAAATCAAGACCTCAATCAAGTACAATCATGACCTGTGTACATGTTGTACTCAGTTCACCTCTGTTAATACACCGTCATCCTTTCTAAACTAGGGCCCCGGATGGTTCCTGTATCCTGACCAACAGTGCAGACAATGTGCTCCGTGTATACAACCTCCCTCCAGAGATTTACAGCTACAACTGGGACTTGCTTCCTGAGATGGTGAGCACGCAGTTTGCTTACTGTCAGGGGTGTGTAGAGGATAGAAAAAGTAGCTGAAGGAATGTTGGCAACATACATAAAACCCTTAATACACGTTATAAAAGCAAGAAAGTGGAAATTAAATGAACATTTTTAGTTAAAGCTGTTTCAAAAAAGTTCTTTCATACAAGTCACAGGAGCAAGATTTTAATATTTTTGAATTTTTTTCAATTTTGTTTTGACTTTTTGTTTTCAATTTCAGTTTTAATTTTTAGTTTTAATTAGTTTTTTATCGTGGGTTTGCTAGTTTAGTTTTTATTTTTTGAAAATGCTTAGGTTTAGTTTAGTTTTTATTAGTTTCTGTGTTAGTTTTAGTCTTTGTCGCTGCAGGATGCCAAGCTCAGTTTAGTTTAGTTCAGTCCAGTTTAGTTTTTTCACAAAACATTAAAATGCAAGTAAAATCATTAAATTTAAGTCAATTTAAGCTATCTGAAGCTTGTACACAGAGGCCCAAACACTAAGCATATATATATATATATATATATATATATATATATATATATATATATATATATATATTTGAAGTACTAACACATTGTTTAAATAAATACTACAAATAAATGAAGCACATGCAATCTACAGTATAATTTCTAACCTATATAAGAGCAAACTACCCAGTGGTCCAGAAATTCATTACATCAGTCTCTAGCTTTATCATTCTTGGTTAAATAGGTGAAATACAATAAATGGAGGTGAAATACAATTGATGGACAGTTAAGAAATTGGAAGATAGTGTAGGCCCCCTTTGGAGCCACAAACAACAGGTCCCTAGCACCGTGAAGGCAAGTATGTTATATTCAAATCTAAACCTTTATTATTCAAAAACTAGGTATTAAAACAATGTGAAGCACAAAGAGACAAGGGACAAGTTCATCACACATGCAGGATGAGCTCTAAGCCACACTAACGGAACAAAACAAGGAAGAGAAAACCACCAAGACAGTGACTCACTACCTGCAACCAAAACAAAAAAAAAAATACAACTCTATTCAGTTGTTGCATTCATATTATTTTGTACACATGTAGGCTATGTCTAAAAGATAATAGAAAACATGTTCAAATCCCACCAACTACGCAGCCGATCCCTACCTGGGTCTCCCCGACTAAGTTAGCCTCCCCCTAACGTTACATGGGGTTCTCCTCGTAACAGTGGTCGCCACCTGCTACACCTGCTCATGTGGAGAACAAAAGCATAACACACCCGCGGCTCACCAACAGGGGCCTATCGGCTAATCACCACATGCACCACTGAACTGCCGGTCCGGCCCATATGTCCGGTCAGACCAACTGTCCCGCAACGTCAGTTCCACCGGCTTCATATCCACTTGTAGGTATTGAGGTCCATTACGAAAACAGGGGATATTTACGCTGTAATTTTAGTTAGTTTTGCAAACCTACAATACAGTTTTAGTTATCGTTTTTTAGTAAAGCTTTGATTTCAGTTAACGGCAATGTTTTTTCATCTAGTGTCCGTTATTTAGTTTGTCTTCGTTAACGATAATAACCCTGCACAGGAGTCCAACAAATGCGTTCTGTTCAGAACAAAGTTGAGCCAATTTGGTGAAATAGATCATCTTTGTAGTGCCTTAGTCACATCTCGTTCTCTAAACCTGGGTGTAATAGATAAAGTTGAATTCAGTTAAATGATATTGTCAGTCAGTACTGGTTTAACGATTAAAACTAATATTTCTGTTTCCACATGAATCCATTTCTCAAAGTTCAACTACACTTTATTTTATATAACACACACACAGAGAACAGAGTTTACTTTTGATTCAGTCCCATTCAAGATATTTTTACCGATCACATTACATAGCCTAGTTCAGAATTTACATATAATTTCTGGTCTGATATGACTTTGAAATTTAATTCTAATTAGAAATTATACCGTTTTTCCAAATAAGACATTGTTTCTTCTTTTCTAGAGGTTTGTCTTTGGCACTGCTGCGTATTGTCCTTAATTATGTTTGAGACATTTTGTTTTTTTCAAACACTGTGTAGAATTTGAGAGATTTCCAGTGAACAAAAGGTCATTAACTTGTTGTGTGTTGTCTGACCTTTTTAAACAAAGTCCGTGAGTATGTTGCTGAACACGATGTTGTGTTACAATCAACTAAGAAAAACATTTCAATCAATGTAAGATAGCAGCTTGAAAAAACGTATGACTGAAGATTTAACAGTTTGAATAAAATAGGCATTGTGTCTTTTAGCTTTTGAGAAATATCAAGTGGCAAGCTCATCTCTTAATGGTATTACAGACTGGTAGATTGGGATCGCTGAACAAAAATAATTGAAATATAATTTGTTTTCCTCCATTACAGAGATCTCAAACGGTTTGTGAAAAGGGTAGACAATTGAGCTTTGATTTCCCACATGGTGCCGCTGGCTCTTGTTATTGAATTTGACTACAAGGAAAAGCCTAGGATATTGTCGTCTAGCCGCCTGTTCAGTACCACCATCACCACTAATAGATCCCATTGGTCATTAAAATTACGTATGATTGCTGTGTCTTTCTGTCTTCATGCTGCTGACTGTCTCCTTTCTGTGACAGAGTCCAGTGCTGAGAATGGCAGAGGGAGACACCATCTACGACTACTGCTGGTACCCCAAGATGAGCTCTCTGGACCCGGACACATGCTTGTGAGTTCATCTTGATCTTTGCCAGGCCGTGCTCTGAGCCTCAGCTCTTAACAGCTGGATAGATGAGACATCCTGCCAGATGGTGGAGGATGTATACATAGAAAAATTACTGTTTGAGGCTGGTGTCACTCAGTGATTGGTGTTTCTAGATGTTGGATGATAAGAGTGGGACGCAGTGTGTGTTTGTGAGTAAGATTTTCTGCGTGCTTGAGCTGGTCTAATCGACTATCTGAATATAGAAGATATTGTTGTGACTCATTCTCTGATCCCTGTGGTATTTGCACTTGTTGTGGGAGCCGGCTGCCAGCGTGGAGAGAAGCTGTAAAAGCTTTGTGATGTCCCTCATTATGAGTGAAGAGTTGGCCTTCATCTCGTCTACCTCTGTCGCAATCCGCTCTGCTGTTTGAGGCCCACGGTGCTTTTCAGCATGATTCAGCCCACTAACGGCTCTCCTGAGTCTAGACAACACCTAAAGGGCCTCATGATTCCCTGACTCTGGGCTTCTCTTTTCATCCTGTTGTCTTTTTTTGCCGCGTATATGCAGGCGTGCTCTGACAGGCTTTTAAAATGTGGTGATTATGACATCACCGTGTGTGTGTGTGTGTGTGTGTGTGTGCGCGCGTGCGTGCTGTGAAGCAGAGCCAACATCAGCAACACTCAGAATGCACATCGTCTGTGGCGAGAGAGGTAGGGCCGTGCTAACGAGCTGAGGTCAAGTTGCCAACAGTTTTTCACCGTGTATGTACCTCCTCCCCCAGCTCCCGTCATCCTCCAGTTACAGCCTCCACCCTCCGACAGATCCCTCTGATCAAGGCCCAGCGCTGGCACCGCTCCACCCCAACACCAGACAGCCTTCACTGTGTAAGAGGCAGGGGGTGGGGGTCAGGAGCTGAATGTCCAAAGATGAGAGTTGGGTAAACAGCACAATGATCAACAAACGACTCATGTGGATAATGAGCCACTTCACAGGCCTGTGTGTGTATCTGCCAAAGCCTTGCAAAGACCTGTCTGTCATGAGGACGATGATGCCAGTCGGAGCTGACAGCAGATATTCTTCAGATCACTGCCACATATCAGAGAGGAGCTCCTGCAGGGCACAGCTATGTGGTCGGACAAGCTCAGAGTAGATTGTTGAGGACTGAGGCAGCCAGATGAAAGGTTATGGTTGTGATTAAAAAAAGCATTTACAGAGAACCTGTTCCTCTAGTGCCTTTTTGGTCTTCCTCTTACCTCCTTCCTCCGTCTTTTCATATCTCCCATTTTGTTTCACATTCCTCCCCCTGCGCTCCTTGAACTCTCTGGCTGCCAAAAGCCGTGTTCTGTTGATGCCCCTCCTGTAGAGAGGGAATAAGGGCCCCTGTTATGGCTCGGTTAAGTTGCGCTGAGTTCTAGGCATCGCTCCAAGCTAGCAGCAGTCTAGCATTATAATTGGGCATTTCCCTGCTCTGGAATAAAACTGCAGCTCAGAGGGGCCATAACAGAACACGGCAGCAGTGGTAGGGGCTAATTTCCTTTGTCTAATTGAGCCGCAGTGATGTTTCGGCATTTGTTCAGCGCCCAGTAATTAGAGTTAAAAAGGCATGGCTCAGTGTTTGGCCCGGATTTGAATCAATAAGAATGTGCTGTGGTTCTGTCTCAATAGTGAGGCATAGCACAATGCTGTGTATTTGTTTTGATGCAGTGATAAATTCAGGTGGATGTGGTGCCATAGAGGTTAGACACAAGAAAATGAATCATGTTTTTTGCTTATACATTATGTATATTTCAGAGGAACCTCAGCAGCCTTTTCATTTCATTTGTATCATGAGACACAGGTGAAGGTATTTTCTTCTAGTAGTCTTACTTTGTTTTATTTATTTTTTTTATAGACACATACTGTTTGTCACACTATGGTCATTCACTGCGCATGAATTACATTATTAAGTTCTGAAACTCTCACTAATTTCTTAATTGCTAGCTGTAACAAAATAAATACAATTGCCCCAGGGACAATAAAGATTGACTTTACTAACATTTATTCAACTTTGTTTCATATTTTGCATTATTCACTCTTTATTCCCTTTTGTCTCTCAGTCCTTTCCCCAAATGTCTTAATAACTCGCACTCTCACTCCTCTCACGCCTCACTCCTTTTTCACAGTCTAGCGAGCAGTAGCCGTGACAACCCAGTCCACGTGTGGGATGCATTTTACGGGGAGCTGCGAGCCAGTTTCCGACCCTACAATCACCTGGATGAGCTGACGGCAGCCCACTCCCTCTGCTTCTCTCCGGATGGAACGCAGCTCTACTGCGGCTTTGACAAAACCGTCAGAGTCTTCTACACGGAGCGTCCCGGCAGAGACTGTGAGGAGCGGCCCACCATAGGTCAGTTATCAACTTCTCTCACACCGTTTTCAATTAACTACAGATCATGTAAACTTTATAGTACAAGGGTGTAATCTTAAACATCAAAGTGAAAAGTGGTGTAAATATTTAATATTAATTATAACAACTAATGGATTATGCAAAATCTGTCTTCCTATTTGAGAGCAGTGACTGTTTTGAAAACTCCCTGTTGTTCAAGGTCTTGCCGAACTCTTGAGAATGAAGAATAATTTAAAATTGCATTCACAAACTTTGTGTTTGTGATATCAAACCCATAAGACAAACAATAAGTAGATCATGTGATGTTGTAAAAGGGATAATGTGAAGAAATTTGTTTCTTATTATTCAAAAAGTTGCTTTTTGACAGCTGGTTGTCCTTCAACAAACCAACAGCGAGAGTTTTTGTTGTGTACTCATACAAAAAATAAAGGGAACTAAATGTTGACTGTAAGAATCACTTATCCCTGTCACCCACAGAAGGGTTTTGTAAAGTACTGAAATGGACTGAACCAGTATCTGTCTTGTAGTTAACGAGCTAGGTATTAGTTTTTATATCCTTCATGACTTACATTTTTTATTCATTTATTCAGGTGGCAACAAACAATCCTGATAAATAAAAAATGCCTGACATAAGAACATTGACTGCGCTCTGCTGGCAACTCAACATCTTGCTCTGATAGATCATTGCTGTCTAAGGTTTCTTGTCTGTTTTGGATCCATCAGCTCTGCATGATAATTAATAACTGGAAATTATGCAGAAATGTATGGTTGCTCCCACAAAAAGGTTATGTGATACATGTCAGGACTGAGCCAAACCCTCGCTTCTGCTATTTTGTGCCAAAAACGCGCTTAAAGCCTTTTTTAAAGAGTGGGAAAAAGGAGCATTGGGAAAGGAGTAAACCGTAAAAAGAAGCAGATGATCCAAATGCGATGTGTGCATGTGTTGAGAAATATTTTCCTCTTGAAGATGTAATCAGGAAAGTAGCGGCAGCCAAAAGAACAACTTTGAGTAGAAGTGATTGGGAGTTGTGTCTTGTGAACCTTTTTAAAAGGCTGAAAGCCTTGCCTCATGCCATTCGTTTGTCTTCACTGCAGTGAAAAAGCAGGGCCAAAGTGGCATCATCTCCTGCTTTGGCTTCAGCCCCTGCCAGTCTGTTTACGCCTGTGGCTCTTACTCCCGCTGTGCTGGCCTCTACTCCTGCCAAGACGGCACCCTGCTGGCTCTGCTGCCGACCCGCCACCACGGAGGCCTCACCCATCTGCTCTTTTCCCCTGATGGCAACTACCTGTACACCGGCGGACGCAAGGTGAACACATGCACACACACATAGCAGCATGCAGAGAAGATACCTCAGGGTAATAATGCTGCTTCGTTTGAATGAACACACACACACACAATCAGTAGGCTTTGTGTGTTAAGCAGTTCCTGTCTTGATGGATGAGTCAGTATTTAATGGATTCACTGTGTTTTCACAAGTGTGCTGCAGAAGATTGCCGTTACAGGAGTCTGAATTTGTGCCCAGAGATTTTTATATTTTAAGTGTTTTTGAGTGATTTTAAGTTAATTGATAAGCTTTTTTGCTAATGATTAGCCAATAGTTAACAGTAAAGCAAGTTAATGTACAATAAATTTAGTATGAATGACAGAGAAACAAGATTAACAGATTAAATAAATACCAACTCTAGGGCTGGACGAGGCAGCCAAAAAATTTATCACAATAACAAATTTGCTTTCTTCATAAATTATTCTTTATGGTCAGAACAAACACTTAACAAATCTGAGGTTGAACATTCAAAACAATTATGATAAAATTAAGTAATATCTTTTTTCAGTCCTTTTTCCTCAACAAAATAAATATCTTAATAGGGTAAGTGTTAATTCGTTAAAAATGTATTGAACATATTTTGAACATTTGTTATATTGTTACTTAGGAATGTTATATGGCGATAATTATCATTATTGTTTTATTGCCCAGCCCTAACTCAGGGTACCTGTGGGGTCTTGAAAGATATTAAATTTCAATTTATAATATAAAAATAAGTCTTAAGTTTTTTCTTGTCCTTTCATAGGATAGAATAAATGCTGTAACGTCATAAATAAATACTTTTTGTGTGTGCGACTTTACAATTTACTCCGTTTAATGTGACTTGGATGTTATCTTTACACTCTGGACTGTGGAGTGTTCGCGGTGCACGAGCTCTGGCATTCAAGCTCGGGTGCACATCAGTCAGTTGTAAGGAAAGAAAAAAAATGCTATTAACAAGCTAACGTTAGCTCATCGACTCAGAATGGGCAAGTGTCTGAAGTTCAGTGATACGGACAAGTTGGAGGACTAGGCTGAGGGCAGTGGCGCTGAGGTTAGCACAACAAGCGGATCGGTGTGAGAGTCAGTCACACTATGGCGAGGTTTGGTGTATTACATTACATTACCTTTTCTAGCCAAGGTGTAACTAACTGTAACAATTCTTGCTGCACAATTTATTTTTTTAATTCACACCATAAGAGTCTCCATCACCTTTTTCAAAGCATTTTTTAAATATGTTCTGAAAAAGAAATGTTAAAAAAAAAAAAAAAATCAAAGGTTTATTTGCACAATAATAAAACATGCAATGTAAGTATAGAAGAAACAAATGTGCATTGTCTAAAAAAAGTAACATAAGCTAAAAAACAAGCTGCTGATTCCTGCATTATATTCAGTTTGAATTGCATTCATTTCATATAAATGAAGACAATTCTACCATAAATTGGTGCAGAAAATGTCTCCAGAATGCAGGAAATTACGTGTTTAATGCTCAATTTTCTAGTGGAGGACCCCCAAACGCCCCCCATTTATAGTTTTTTGCAAATAGTCACCTTTTGGTTTATTCAATATTTAATTTCAGTTTTTTGGTAAGGATGGTATTTGTAAAGGTGTCATGATAAAGGTGAATGATGTTCAGATTTTATTGTTTACAAGAGGTAAATCAGAAATTCATTAATATAGCTAAAAGGTCTCCAAGTAATTTTTTAAGCTTACAGCAAACTACCCATATTTTTTATATATCCACTGTTTTTCTCTGGTATCCACATGCGTTCGGCTCTGTAGCCCTGCACAAAAAGCTATTGTGAAAATGTGTTTGTGTGTTTAGGATCCAGAAATCCTGTGCTGGGACCTAAGAGAGCCGGGAAAGGTTGTGTTTTCACTTAAGAGAAACGTGGCCACTAACCAGCGCATCTACTTCGACCTGGACCCGTAAGTTTACTTCACTTACTAGGACCCTACTGTGGTGATAGGCATGCAAGCTTTAACTGTGACGAAGTGGTGATACTGATCTAAAGACCACGTTATATACAATATGTGCAGAGTGTCATTCATTCAGTGTTTCAGCATCTTGTCTGGTACTTAGAGTGACCAATTCATAGAACTTTGACATGGTTGTATAAATGCTAATGCTATCAATTACCTGTGACCTGTTCATACTTGAGTCATGTTGATTGTATAGGGATGGTTTTTATGGCTCTGTGCCGGCGATAGCTGTAGCTGTTCTCGGATTGTCTGCCCATCTCATTCTTGTGAACGCGATATTTCAGGAATTCCTTCAAATGTGGCACAAACGTCCACTTGGTAATAAGAATGAACTGATTAGAATTTGGTGGTTAAAGGTCAGGGTCATTGTGACCTCACAAAACATATTTCTTCCATAACTCATGAATTGGTGACGCTTTTGACACAAAGATCGTGGCCACTTTGATGTCAAAATTTGGCAGTTTGGCCGCCGCCATGTTGATTGTTTTGCAGGCAGCAGCGTGACCATATTTGGATGAGACGGCTAGGTGTATCTGTAATTCACGTTAACTTTGATTTTAACCGGGATGCTAATTTTGGCTAGCTCAAACAAAAAGTACTTACAGGGAAAAATGGGCAGCCTACTCGTAAGTTTTTTTTCAGCGGCGCTGGTTAAATTTACACAGTGCAGTGGATACGAGTTACTTTAGCCAGATTGGACAGGTCGCCATGGTAGCGACATGTCAATCACAAGGTAGTCCAACCCTAAAGCATACTCTACTTTATGGTCTAATTTCCTCTAAAAGGGACCATAATTTACTAAATGAACATCATGCTGTATTAAAGAAGACTTAAAACTAATGATTAAGATTATAAACTCATAAGGAAAATGTTTACTGAGGGAATAAATCAGGTGAGAAGTAGTGTGATTTTACCATTTTTTTTCCTAATGGAACCCCTGCTGGCCATTAGAAAGAATACAGGTTTAAGTTCCGCATTGGCTTCAGTTGTGAGAAACCTTGGGTTGCTGCTTGGTTTTTAGCCATAATTTAAGAAATAACTGGGGCGATTATTATGAACTTTGGAAGCTCAGTGGAGTTGTGGCAGCTACAGTGAGGAAAATGAGTATTTGAACACCCTGCTATTTTGCAAGTTCTCCCACTTAGAAATCATGGAGGGGTCTGAAATTGTCATCGTAGGTGCATGTCCACTGTGAGAGACATAATCTAAAAATAAAAATCCAGAAATCACAATGTATGATTTTTTTAACTATTTATTTGTATGATACAGCTGCAAATAAGTATTTGAACACCTGTCTATCAGCTAGAATACTGACTCTCAAAGACCTGTTAGTCTGCCTTCAAAATGTCCACCTCCATTTATTATCCTAAATTAGATGCACCTGTTTGAGGTCGTTAGCTGCATAAAGACACCTGTCCACCCCATACAATCAGTAAGAATCCAACTACTAACATGGCCAAGACCAAAGAGCTGTCCAAAGACACTAGAGACAAAATTGTACACCTCCACAAGGCTGGAAAGGGCTACGGGGAAATTGCCAAGCAGCTTGGTGAAAAAAGGTCCACTGTTGGAGCAATCATTAGAAAATGGAAGAAGCTAAACATGACTGTCAGTCTCCCTCGGACTGGGGCTCCATGCAAGATCTCACCTCGTGGGGTCTCAATGATCCTAAGAAAGGTGAGAAATCAGCCCAGAACTACACGGGAGGAGCTGGTCAATGACCTGAAAAGAGCTGGGACCACCGTTTCCAAGGTTACTGTTGGTAATACACTAAGACGTCATGGTTTGAAATCACGCATGGCACGGAAGGTTCCCCTGCTTAAACCAGCACATGTCAAGGCCCGTCTTCAGTTTGCCAATGACCATTTGGATGATCCAGAGGAGTCATGGGAGAAAGTCGTGGTCAGATGAGACCAAAATAGAACTTTTTGGTCATAATTCCACTAACCGTGTTTGGAGGAAGAAGAATGACGAGCACCATCCCAAGAACACCATCCCTACTGTGAAGCATGGGGGTGGTAGCATCATGCTTTGGGGGTGTTTTTCTGCACATGGGACAGGGCGACTGCACTGTATTAAGGAGAGGATGACCGGGGCCATGGATTGCGAGATTTTGGGGAACAACCTCCTTCCCTCAGAGCATTGAAGATGGGTCGAGGCTGGGTCTTCCAACATGACAATGACCCGAAGCACACAGCCAGGATAACCAAGGAGTGACTCTGTAAGAAGCATATCAAGGTTCTGGCGTGGCCTAGCCAGTCTCCAGACCTACACCCAATAGAGAATCTTTGGAGGGAGCTCGAACTCCGTGTTTCTCAGCGACAGCCCAGAAACCTGACTGATCTAGAGAAGATCTGTGTGGAGGAGTGGGCCAAAATCCCTCCTGCAGTGTGCAAACCTGGTGAAAAACTTCAGACAATTTCAATTGACAAATTTCAGACCCCTCCATGATTTCTAAGTGGGAGAACTTGCAAAATAGCAGGGTGTTCAAATACTTATTTTCCTCACTCTATGTACCATAACTACCTAAGTTAAAGTGTTTTCATTTTTGCTTGTTTTTTGTTTCTATGTAGGTCAGGCAGGTACCTGCTGAGCGGTGACACAGAGGGAGTGGTGTCAGTATGGGACACCCAGACAGCTCCTCCTGATAGTAACGAGGAACAACTGCAACCTCAGCTCAGGTTCCAGACCCACTGGGACTGCACCAACGGCATCAGGTGGGATGATGAGAGAAGGATTCAGGTTCAGTAAAAGTGTGTCCGGCTGCTATCACTAAGTTTGTTTTTGTTGTGATTACTTGCCATGGAGTGAAAGGGTTAAAAGATCCCATTAGTAAAACCACAGCCAAAAACCTACAAATAAATTAAACCACTCGGCACACAACCAGTAAAAAAAAAGGTTTCCCCAGAAGTTTCCCGTTTCGCTCTCTTTCGGCCTTTTCAGTGCCCTTGTGCAAAAGTTATACTTATTTTAGGTGACTAAAACATATTTTGCAGCTGATCATCAAATTTAGTTCCTTCAGTCATGTTCAGTGACTGTATTGCTGTTTTCCTGCTCGATTGTCCTGTTGTGATGTACCGTGTGGGGGTCCCCCATTTATTCACACAAAAGCATAGGAGATGCAAACAAATTATTCAAAATATTTTAGATAGAGAAGAAATGGCTTCCAATTCCCAAAATGTAATTTTGCACAACATACATTACTGCTTTGATTTGAGAGAGCAATAATTACAGCTTCTGTGTGCAGTTATGAAAAATCCGGTAAATGGCTCTGTTACTTTGTAGCAATTCACATAATCTAATGTGCACAGTGTATTCTGTGTAGAAGAAATAAACTTTCTGATGAAATACAAAGGATACATCATGGCGGTGGATGTTCTACAAATTTGAATCGAACCTGGACTTGAAGTGATTCTCATCTCAATAGCTGTTGTTGGTCTGTGAAATGATCACTCTGTGATCAAAATGTAGTTAAAATGCATAACAGGTGCTGCAGTGCAAAACCAGAAATGTCTTCCTGTCCCCCTCTCCGTCCTTCTCTTCTGTAGTATTCATCCCTTCATGCCATTGTTGGCAACATCCAGCGGGCAGCGTCAGTTCCCGTGGCCCGGGGACAGCGAGGGTGACTCGGCCTCTGACGGAGAGGGAGGAAAAGCGGTGATGTCGCCACAGGAGATCCGACAAGACAACGCCCTGACTCTGTGGTGGGCCGGACCGCTCGGCGCTGCCACAGAGGGGAACCCAGAGCAGAGTACATCAGTGGTGGAAGCTTGAAGCACCTGCCACATGATATTTATTTTTGGGAATGCTTGCTATGCATAAACCCAATTATGGGTCAGTCAGATTGTCTTTGCGCCATCAGCAACATGAAGTCCCGAGGTGGAAAAGTATTTCTGGATCATTAGCACAGTCCATACAGTCATAACATATCACCTGTAAGTTTACAGCATTTACAGACGCAGTATTCGCACTTGCAAAGTTAAAATTACAGGGTTATGAAACATTGCAGATCAGGTGGGCACAGAACAGATTTCCATGGTTCTGTCTTTGAAGATTTCATTGTTGTAATGCCAATTTGGTAAAAAAAACAATTAGAACTAAATGCCAAGACTGCAGTCAATGCTATAAGCAAGGGCGTTTTCTTTAAAACCTTACTCTAGTCACATCTTGTGGTTTGCATAAGAAGCTTATTGGGGCCTGATATTTCTCTATTGTCATTTTATGAGTGAGAGAGCTTTATTTAAATCAGTTTACCAATTTTGTTCACTTTTTTTCCCTTTGAGAATCTACTTCCTGTATTGGATGAATTTAGTTGACAGGCTTGACTGTGGTGTGAAGTACTGATCGCACCTACACTCACGAGTTTTATCTGTAGGAGTATTTGTTTACGTGTGTGTGGCTGTAATGCTGCCCCCCCCGGAGATTCCTGCTATAGTTACAGTAAGTGCCATTTGTTGTTGAGCTTTGCTTTTGTAAACTGATGGGGATCTCCTGTTTTTACCTTCTTTTTTAAACTATTGGACACGCCAAGTGTTGTGTCGCTCTGTGTATGCCCACAAATGTATATTTTTGTAAAGCCATGATCATTCTAATTTTCTGAATGTAAGCTTGATTACTATAACCTCATAACAATCTGTGAAAGTCAGCGGGTGCAACTGGAAAACGAGCGACGTCTTGATTATTCTTTTCTACAGACTGTGCTCAGATTACATTTGTACCTGTGAGTGGTGATGTGGCAGCACATTGTATTTGTATAATTGCATTAATAATGTACTGCGGTGATTTTCTCAATGCCTATGTTGCCATCAGTCAGGTGTGCTTTGCTGTAGGGTTTCTTCTTTCTGCAGGTTGATCAGAAGGAGCACAGCACGCTCTGACCTAAGCCATGTATCTTTAGACACTGAGGAATCTATCAATTTTGAAGCCTGTGCTGATCCAGGTTTTACTTTTGGAGCTCAAATTTGTTGCCAAGTAGTAATAGCTACAACTGTGTAGCTGCGATCACACAATACTGCACAAATTTGCTGTAGCTGGAAGCATTAGGAACCATGTAGGCCTTGATGTCACACAAGTCTCCAGATATATGGCTGAATATACGACAGGTGGCTTTGTGCTGGTTTTATTCAAGCTGGAGTGAATTAAAAGTATATCGCTTCACAGATTCACGGTCTTATTCATTTCTGTCCTTTCTGTCTCTTTAAAGCAGTCTACAGTTGGATGCCCTGTAATAAATCCCAGATGAATGCAAGATGATGTTACACTCGAGTCAAGAGGCGCCTCTTAAAAGCTAAAGGGACTTCTGGCTTTCGCTTATGAGGTGGAAACTATTCATAGCTTTCACCTTTCCCACACACGTTCTGTATGAATGCGCACACTCGTGTATTTGATTGTCTGAAACCACAGGGGCACACCGAGCACAGAGCCAAGTTGGAGAGCTGCGCTGTTGTGTTGTGCATGTTGCTTAGCAACAGTTTCCGCCTTGGGAGAGGTATAAAGACGGCAAGAAGGAAAAATTGCCAAACAAGTGTAATAGATAATCCAGAAGTGTAGTGATTGCTACTACCAGAGAGTGACGTGTGTGAGCTGTGGGTCCTTCTCACCTCTGGGTGTCTGCTGTTTGCCATCAGGGACAGAAAGTGGCGCTGGCATCGTGAATAAAGTCGATTTCTTGGGTTTGATGTTTACATTCTGTCATGTAGTAGGAACTGAGACTTACAGACAGATGTAAGCGTTCTGTATCATATCCAGTCAATACAATTTGCCAGTGATTGAAAGATTTATGTCTAATCACTCGATTCAGCAAAGAAAGAGCAAGGGGTCTGAATACATACGAAATTAGGTATCAAGCTGCTGTAATCTTTTTATATTAACAAATGATAAAATTGTGTATAATGTGAAAGTGCGTCAACTATGCAGTTCCACAGACCATTTTAGCCTTTTAACTCATTGGTTTGGTTTCAAGGCCCACAACTTTACACACTTCACTCTCAACGCTCCCATCGAACTTTGCGAGAGAGAGAGCGCAAAATTCAGCTAAAAGGAGTCAGTGTTGGGCAGATATGTCTCCAAGTGAATGCTAGTCTTGCTGTTTATCTGCTGGGTGTGTATTTAAATACAAATTATGGGTACCTGTACTTTAGTATTTTCTTTCCTGCCACTTTCTACTTCTACTCCACTAAATCGCAAATGGAAATAATTCACTACATGTACTAGTTAGTTTACACACAAGTAGCAGTAGCTACTTGATTATAGTAGTAAACATATGAAGAGTTTCTTAAATATGTTTTGTTATCAATTAAACTACCCAACAGTTTCTATACAAGTACAGTGGAAAAGATTAGTCTGGTGACAGAAAATGAATTGGCTATTTTGATTGTCTAAGTAATTTTTCATGTGAAAACATTTCATGGTTCCAGCTTTGCTGCTTTTCTTTTAAATTATTTCAATTATTTGAATGTAGTGTTAAGGTTTGTAAGTTACTGTTGGTTAGACAAAACCAGCGTTAACAAGGTGTCACTTTTATCCCTGGGTAATTGTGTCGGCATCACTATTTTCAGAATTTTTCTATCAATTATTGGAGGAAAAAAAATCAGCACATGAATTCATGATGAAAATAATTATTAGCTGCAGTCCAATAAAGCATAGTTCAAAATGAGCTCTGCCTCAACAACTATGAGCATGCAGTAATAACAATCTCAGGACACAATACTAGTATAACAGTCAGAGGGGACACTTTTCCTGATTATACCCACATGCTTTTACTTGCATACACACACATTGCAGAACTTTTATTTGTAACAGTACTTTTACCTAAGTAAAGGATCTGAATACTTTGTCCACTACTGTGAATAGGCAACTTGTGCTGCCCTAAAGTGCCTGAAAAACAATCAGTGCATCTCAAATAGTTCACTGAAAACTTCTATGCCTTTCTAATTAGGTTAAAACATTATTGGTCACCATTTTGTGGATGCAGGTTCAGACAGATAACAAAAATGCATCTCCTTTAAATCAAGTCTATAACAAAGGTAATGGAAGATGATAAAATGAAAGAATTTATTAAGTAAAGTACAGAAAAATGTGGAGGCGCAGTTTCACAAAACAAATGTCATATAATTTCAGAAGTTTTTTTTTTTTTTAATATTCTAATTTATATTTGGTTTTGGGAAGGATATCAAAGTCAGTTCAAGTCAATAGGCTTAACAGAAAGTGAAGTCATGAGTCATTGGTGTTCAAGTCGAGTAGCAAGTCTTTTTTTGATTTATCATATGAATTCATCATCATTTTGAAGTCATCATATTTGTGACTTGCGTCTGACTCGTGTCCAAGTCATCTTCCATTTTATTCTTTGTCTTTTTTAGCCGCAGGACAAACTTGTGATAAACTTAATAAGGCAATGCCACATCAGGCCAACATTGCTAAATTAATTGGTAAATACCTCCGAAGCGTACACCTATTCGTACTTGTTAAATTAAGCTTGTATTCAAAACATTTCCCCCTAGGCTAAAACCACACCAATTGCATATGATTTGGTTTCCGTATTAAATGTAGTAGTTTTCGGTGTTCATTTCCTGTTTAATGATTCATCAGAGGCTAATTAACCCCACCAACAATGCAATTCTAGAGGTTACACTGAACAACTGACATCTTTATTCATCTGTCTAAATGTCATTTGTATTCAAAATGGTGTGCTTTCAGGAAGCCTAACCTTAGTGCTGCCACACAGATGACAGCGAAGCCATTATATGCATCCCAAGGTGGCTGAAGTGTGGTCTTTCCACTTGTGCGGTTAATGAGCCAATCCACATCAAGTGTTCTGTGTTTCTGTGTTCTGTGCTTCCATTTATGTCGCGTCCTGAGTGAGTCTCCATGGCCTTGCATAAGTGCCTTCCATTAGACAGGCGCACACACAAACTTCACAGTCCCAGCGCTCATCACTAGAGAGTGTGTGGAATAGTAAGTAATGGGATCTTGATATTAAGAAAGACATTCGAAAACAATTATTCAAATGGCTGCCTGCCTGTTGAATCTCCTAATCCCACAGTCAGGCACTTAAACAAACACTCTGCGGCGTGACCCCGGCTGAGTTAGCATGGAGAAAAAGAGGCGCGCACAGCTCTGAAGTCTGGGATGCTAAAATGTCTAGACTGCTCTCTGGTTTGTCACTCTCATGCTGCCTTTGAAAGGAAAATGCTTTTTAGAACATGAAGCAGAGGGAACAGATTCGCTGGAGCTTTTAGAGGTTGTCATACATGGCATTTCTCAAAATGTCAAAGGGACGGCTCCTTTATCTCAGAGAGACTTCGGATGTGTTTGACAGGCGCTTAGCACAGGGCTTCACTCTGACCCGGCTCTGACACACAAGTAGAGTAGACCTGTTACATCCAGTTTTCTTCAGACTTAATAGGTTATGTGCTGCATATACACAGCTGCCACACTATTTGGTACACCTCAATTCCCAGCTCAGGCTTTTGGGAAACGTGTCACCTGATTTCAGTGTATGGCGTGTGGACAGATCTAAACCTGATCAAATTTAGGCTGCAGTGGGACAAGATTTGGAGCCAGCATGGACCATCAAAAAATCTTTGCATTTTATTTTTCTGTGTGATGCTAATGAATCAATAAACTCCACGAGTGAAACATTTCCGTGCCTTGTAAAATCCATGCTTCCTAAATTACGTATTGCTGGGGGCTCCACCTGCTACTAGACAGTTGTCAATCTACAATTAATAAAGTGGCCACTGACTCTGTATGTTTAGCTATCACTTAATCTGTTTTCAGCCTAGTCGTTAGCCTATTTCTGATACCAAATGGAGGAGGGATTATTTTCCAGTGCTGGCCTCTGCAATCCAAGGCGTGAGACCGGTTTTCAACCTGTTTGAAGTCAGCCAAACCTCAGCAGTATGAGGTCGGGGACACAGGGCGGCTTTTAAGAGCACTTAGACAATTTAGTTATTTAGTCGTTTATTGCTCTTTCATAATGTTGAGGTACTAGGTAGAGACAGTTGAAAAAGGTGGTCGAAATGGTTGCAGTATCCTGACGTTTATTCTCGTGGAAAGTAACAAAGTATGTCTATTTAACTACTGCACTTAAGTAAGGTAGACTGAGGATTTTTGACATTTCTGTCTGTATCACATTTTGAACACACAGGCTTAAAAGAGCTCCAAGTTACATACTGCACTAGACAAAATCATAAACACAACACTTTTGTTTTTGCCCCTATTCATCATGGTCTTTTATTGTGGCCAGCCTAAGGCACACCTGTAATACCCATGCTGTCTGATCAGCATCTTGATATGCCACACCTGTGAGGTGGATGGATTATCTTGGAGATCTAGGAGAAGTGCTCACTAACACAGATTTTGACAGATTTGTGAACGATATTTGAGAGAAATAGGCCCTTTGTGTACATAGAGAAAGTCTTTGAGATCTTTGAGTCTAGCTCATGATGAATGGGGGCATAAAAAAAGTGTTCACTGTAGTTACATGTGTCTGCTATTAAATATCTCTGCAACACAGACAGAAAATGCATGGGTTAGTCTCGGAGACGAGGAGAAAAACATTACAATTCACCCCATAGTCTGGGTTAGTTGTAACATACCCTGGGGTGAAATGTAACATTATCTAATAAGGAATGTGAGATATATTAGTGAACATATTAAAAATGTAACAAAGTGTGAAATGTGCAAGAACTGAATATTATTGTGCTTGTTTGTCTTGCACGTCACAGTGGTGAATGACATATGGTACTCCTGGAGTGCAGGCTTCATGGGCCCCCAGCGACGCCAACAGGTCTTACATTACTGTGTGTGTGAAAACATATAAATACAACTAAACATTTTTCTTGGGGTAATATTTTTAATTGTTAGATCTCCACCTGACTCTTGTAGCCATGAACTAGCTTACCTTTCAGCTCAAACATTAGCACTAACAACTTGCATGAACGATATCTACATAGACACACAATTAACAGTAATAGTTGTTTACCTCAAAATATTTTAGACTAATAAAGACTTAACTGAGCATGTGCAGAGTGGATCAGGTCATTCATGACTTGGTTCTGATAGGAAATATTGTACATGTTACAAATGACCCATGTTTCAACTACCCTCGGTCTCCCTACAATGTTGAGGTATACTTGAGAATTTCCACTTTGCTGTG